GGGCCCATGCCAACTTCACGAAGTCGGCAAGACCAAGTGCCAGGTCCTACACGTGGGTCAGGCACAAATACAGGCTGGGTGATGAGTGGATTGAGAGCAGCCCTGCGGAGAAAGACTTGCTGGTGGATGAAAAACCGAACATGAAGCAGCAATGTCTGCTCACAGCCCAGAAAGCCAATTGCATCCTGGGCTGTATCAATAGTGTCACGGCCAGCAGGTTGAGAGGTGATTCTGCCCCTGTGTCTGTTCTTGTGAGACCTCACCAGCAGCACTGCCTTCACCTTTGGGGCCCCCAGCATAAGGACATGGACTTGCTGGAGTGGGTCCAGAGGAGGGCAGTACAGATGATCAGAGGGCTAGAGCAAGTCTCCTACGAAGACAGGCTGGGAGAGTTGGGGCTGTTCAACCTGGAGAAGAGAAGGCTCCAGGGAAGTCTTATAGCAGCCTTCCATTGCTTAAAGGGGGCCTGCAGGGAAGAAGGGGACAGTCTCTTTAGCAGGGCCTGTTATAAGTAGGACCAAGGAGTAATGGCTTTAATCTAAAAGAAGGTAGATTTAAACTAGATATAAGGAAGAAATTTTTCACAAAGGGAGTGGTGGAACACTGAAACAGGTTGCCTGAAGAGGTAATGGAAGCCTCCTATCTGGAATTCTTCAAGGTCAGGTTGGACAGTGCTCTGAGCAACCTGATCTAGTTAAAGATGTCCCTGCTCACTTCAGGGAGGTTGGACTAGATGATCTTTAAAGGTCCGTTCCATCCCAACACATTCTATGAAATATATTTCAATGCTATAATGTATGTTTGCAGTATAAAGGATGACTCTACTGTCTTCTTTTCTATACTCACCACTGTATTTAAACCTCTAGTATGAAGAGGCAAAAATCGTAACAACTGTGTAAGACTCTTCCATTAAAATAGATTTTTCCTGTTAAATATGTGCATCCGCTGCTGGCGTGTGGTAAAGGTCACTTCTGCACTCATTTGGAAAATGCAGGAGGTGAAATCATGGACTGAATAGAGTTGCTGAGCCCTAGTCTGTAAGAAGCTTGTGATTTCCACGTGAAAGCCTTGACTTTTTCATACTTTCTTATTCCAGATACATTATTTCTTCTACTGTGTGTTTGCTGCTTTTTTATTGCTTTAGGGAAATAGTTTTGTGTGTACATTTTAGGTAAAGCATTGTGTGATAACTGTATAAAACCATAAAATATTAACAAATCTAATTAAAAAGAGAGAGAAATGTTAGCTTGTTTATAAATATATGACAAGTTTATTGCACTCTGATTACAACTTCATGGAAGTATAATTCCACAGGCTTCTGTAGCATTCCTCTTGAGTTAGGCCAACAGAAAGCGAGCTCAGAATATTTATTTTTATGTAAAAGTTGTCCAGTTAAATTTTCAGAAGTGTGCACTGTAAAACTGTACAAGGTATTAATATATGTTGCTTTGGGGTAAAAAAAAAATTTCAAATTGCCTAAATGTTGTTTTTTCCAGTTCTGTTTTTTTTTCCTGTCATCATCTCTTCACCTGGGCAAACCGCACACTTCCCTAAATCAAATGACTTAGCACTTGTGCAGCTCTTCACAGTTCTTAAATGCTGTCTGAATGCTAATTATGGCACAGAGCAGCCCAGTGAGGAAGGTAGATAAGTAAGTATTATTATCCCTATTTTACAGATGGGGAAGCTGAGGCACAGAGATTAAGTGACTTTCCCAAGGCCACACAGCAAGTCAGTGGCAGACCCAGGATTAGCGCTTGGGGACTTCCTGGATCCCTCTCCCATGCTTTAAGCAATAGACCACAGAGTTCACTCGGCTCAGCAAGCAACTCGTTGCAATAATGGACACTTCCAAGGACTCGTACCTGGTCAGTGTGTCCCCACGTTTGTTTGCAGACTGCTGCAGTACATCAGGATGGTTTGAGTAGCTCAGTCCTAGCAGATTTCTGCACTATGTGAAATTTCTGACCTTGTCCTCTTCAAACGGGGTGAAAGGCAGAAGCGGTAGAATTCTGACAGAAACATGGCATGGCTGTGAAAAATGTTTAGTTTTCATGCCTTATTCTGATCCTGCTG